ACGGAGACGACAACGACGGTGCCCACAGTAATTCGTCGAGCTCTTTTGGCGGCGATGCATCGTCAGTGTCTGCTGGTGGAAGGAATCTCGTGTATGTTTCTGCTCTGGTGCTGCACCTGCTTGTCCTTGTTTATTTTTGACTGATATGGCTGAAGAGATGCATTATATAAGTTCATATATATTTATGTGTGGTTGAGATACTAAGCACACCGTAGCTGTGTGCCTGCACTTTCAGAATATATGTTTACCTTTCTTTTTTTTTTTTTTTTATTGGCGTTTCGCGATAATGGCAAGCTTTTGAGAAGGAAACCACGGGGCGTCCTCAAAAGCGTTCTTGTTTATGTAGAGCCGCACCTTCATACCACAATGTATGGAAAGCAAAATATTTTTTCAGTTATTTGGAAATAAGTGGATGTATTGTATGAAGGATAGGGTTTATGTAACACCAACAGCTGCGCAGAGCTATGAAGACAATAACTGTGTTTCTTTGCAGCATCCCTTTTTTTTTTTTTTTGGCACCACAAGTGAACGTAGTGGATCAACCGTATATGTTTCACTAGTGGTATTATTTAAAATAAAGAGTTGTTGTTTTTTCTTTTTCTGGGGTGTAAATGCGCGGTATATTGTGATCTGCTGGGGAGGGGGGAGGTGCGCTGTTGCCCCGCTCTAATTCTCACTGTCGTGTGCGTGCTGCATTTTCAGTCTTTTTTTCTTCTTTTTTTTTTTTTGAGGAAACGGCGTCTCTTTTGTTTTTTCATATTTCGGCCTCCGAGTCAGCAGTGAAAATATCGCCGGTGCCTTGGCTTGCCGTTTTGGTCTGCATTGTTTGTTTGCCCAATGGTAAGACGGCTCAAGAGGCTCCCGTCAAGCATCACTGCAGCGCATCACCGTGGATGCAGGGCTGTGCGCTGCCAATTTCGCGGTGGCTGCGGCTGCACCGCAAAATTACCCGCCCAGGTGTGCCCACTTCACGCGGAATTGTGACGATACGCGAGGAGTCAATGTAACGCGGCTTTGAAGCTTCGGCCGGAGGCTTGGGCAAAACCGCCGCGACACCCACAAGACATTGGGCGCGGGCTCTGTGGGAGCAGCCAAACCGCCCGGGCTTGGCTTTCCGACGTCGGACAAGTGAGTGGAACCTGCGTTGTGCTGAGGAGGGTCACAGCCTTCACTGGACAGAAGTGTAAACACTGCGGGGGTGCACTAGGTCATGCTGGCGCCAAAAAATGCGTTTTTGATTGGCACTTCAATCCTTATCCAGCGATTTCGTCATTTGCACGCATAGAGAGAGAAGGTGATCTCTCACCTGCGTATTTCTGCCGCATCATTGCTGTTTCCTACAGCAGTGTGATTTCACCAATAATCTGAGGAGCGTTGCGCACACTGCGGTAAACTTCTTTCTTCTCCATGTTGCAGTCATGAATGGGTTGAAACGACGACTGTCTGTCGGCTGCTCCTGCCGTTGTTGTGAGGCGGCTGCCCACGTCTTTGCGGAGGACACTTTCTTACCACACAATGTGACGGACGTGCAAATGCAACAAGGCGCTAAGCTCTGCGCTGCGGAGGGCGAATCGGCCATTCATTTTCCCAAACATGTTTATGGGAGGGACGTA